TGAGCAGGGGGACCTTGCGGGCGCTGCAGGATTTCAGTCCATTGCGGCGTACTGTGTTACCAATGGTTTGCTTGGTGACTGTGGTCCCAACTGCCTTAAGATCATTAACAAGCTCTTCCCGTTTAGTTCTGGGCTGATCCCTCACCTTTCTCATGATCATCCAATCATCAGGCAAGATCTTGCACAAAGCTCCAGATCGAGGCCAATTGATCGTTGTTTTGTATTTCTTCGATTTCCGAATAATCGCACCAACACTTGTCTCCTTCTCAGCAAGCTTCTTGCTGATGGTCTTGTAGCCCATTCAAGCCGTGTGCAGATCTACAATCTTGTCTCTAACATCCTTTGACTGCTCTTTGGTCTTGCCCATGGTGGTGAACCAAGAGGTTGGAATGGAAGTTATAGATTGTGTCTTATACACCTAACGAGCTGACATTAGGAGTAACTTCTTAAAGTGACAGGACTAATCTGTGTTCCACATGAGCACATAACCAGTTGGTGGGAGCCAGAATTCTTGCTGGTTGGTAGGGGGTCAAATGCTTATTTCACTCACTGAAATGCAAATCAATCTCTAACCTTTATATAATGTGTTTTTTCTGGATTTTTTTGGTTGATATTCTGTCTCCATCCGTTAAAATAAACCTACTGTAAAAATTACACACCCTTCATTTCTTAGTAATTGGGCAAACCTACAGCAGGGGATCAAATAAATATTTTCCCCACTGTATACATACAGTATATATACACACTACCGGTCAAAAGTTTGGGATCAGAACGATTATTAATGTTTTTTAAAGGAGTTTCTTATGCTCATCAAGGCTGCATTTATTTGATCATAAATTCAGGAAAAAATGTAATAGCCTATTGTGAAATATCATTACGATGTAAAATAACGTTTTTCTATTTTAATATACATTAAAATCTAATTTATTCCTGTGATCAAAGCTGGATTTTCAGCATCATTACTCCAGTCTTCAGCGTCACATGATCCTTCAGAAATCATTCTAATATGCTGATTTATTATCAGTGCTGGAAACTGCTGTGCTGCTTCATATTTTTTTGGAAACTGTGATACTTTTTTTCAGGATTCTTTGATGAATAAAAAGTTAGAAAGAAGTGCATTTATTTAAAATATAAATCTTTTCTAACAATATACACTACAGTTCAAAAGTTTGGGGTGAGTACATTTGGAAAGAAATTCAAACTTTTATTCAGCAAGGATGTGTTAAATTGTTAAGAAGTGATAGCAAAGATTTATATTGTTAGAAAAGATTTTTATTTTGAATAAATGCTGTTCTTTTTAACTTTGATTCATCAAAGAATCCTGAAAAAAGTATCGCAGTTTCCAAACAAATATGAAGCAGCACAACTGTTGCCAACATTGATAATTCTGATTATAAATCAGCATATTAGAATGATTTCTAAAGGATCATGTGACACTTTATACTGGAGTAATGGCTGATGCAAATTCAGCTTTGCATCACAGAAATAACTTATATTTTAAAGGATATTAAAATAGAAACCATTATTTTATATTGTAATAACATTTTGCAAGATTACTGTTTTTTTCTGTATTTTTGTTCAAATAAAGCAGCCTTGATGAGCATAAGAGACTTCTTTAAAAATCAGTCTTACTGATCCCAAACTTTTGACCGGTAGTGTGTGTGTGTGTATATATATATATATATATATTTTAATTATTATTATTATTATTATTTATGTGGTAAAGCCAAACGTGTGATTTAATTAATCTCCGGTCAGTTTTATAATGTAGGTTCTTTATTAAATACTTTAATGAATTTTAATGCATATATTATATTAAAAAAAGGAGAACTGTTTATTTGCTTCTTTTTGACCTAGTTTGCAAAGTCCTGCATAAGAACACAAAACACACATTTTTACAAAACCTTTATATTTAATGATATTTAGGCATTTAGATTGCATTTCACAGATTACACGCAATATGTTTGTAAAAAGTGTCATTGACACATGTTTGGGAATATTTGCACCGTTTTGATCAGCAGATGCCGCCAACCTGTGGCGTGTAATGAGCACCTCGAAACGTTTCTCCCATTTATACATCAGTCGTTTGTCAACTCACTTTCACCTCCTTATAGGTTTGAACTTTAAACCTATTAAAAACTACTGGTTAACAATTTAAAAAAACTTAATGATAAAGGACTTACTTGCAAAGAATCAACATTCACTCTTCCAATGAATTGAACATCTCTGAGTCCATTTAAAACTTTCTCTTGCATGCTTCTTCTTCTTTATCTACTGTTAGATAGCATGACCAAAAATACACAGTGCTGCGGCTGCCCCCTCCTGCCTTTAAGAATAGCCTAGTTGCCAGCTACTTTGGAGAGGTCCGTGTTTTTTTGTTGTTCTTGGCAAAATAACACCATTTAGCGATACAACAGTTAGTTCTGGTCATTTGATCTGATTGATATTATTAACAGCTTTGGGACGTTTTTGTATTGCTCATCTGTGTCCACAGTACGGGAGCAGTGCTGAGTGAAGCTTTTTAGAAAATAAATAAAGAACTATTCGTGTTTCAAAGACAATATCAACCCTGACTTGATGTAATTGTGATGTAAATCTTGTTTTCATGAACTGAAAAAGATGCCACTGTGGCCTTAATCAACATTAATCAAGTGATTTTCTACATTTACATTTATGCATTTAGCAGAAACTTTTATCCAAAGCGACACAAAAATATTCTGAGTGTATCTCTTAAACATATAATACAGATTAGAGTTAATAGCTGTTACTGCATTCCTGACATGGATGAGACCCTTAGTCGCCTCTCTCAGATTCCAAACACAGACATTGCTTGTATCATTGATACCAGAGTAGAAGCACGAGTTCTAAGAGAAATATGGCTTGTAAATCCACAAATTAATTCCATGTGACTTCACAGAGGAAGTTTCCCGCTTCCTTACATTCCTGCAGTGATTTACACAACAGATGCCAAGAGTATATCTGTCTCCACCCGTTGCTTGTTATTTCATCTGAGAGTTCATGAGTTCAGCTAGGGCAATGAAAACCTTGGTATTTATCTTCATTACTGATGTGAGTCAGATTAACTTGATAAATGAAACAGACAACTTAATGAATGGCTGTATCTGGCAAATCCTGCGCAATGCATGCCAACACGAAACGATCCATCAAATCAGTTTTTTATTTTATTTAGGTTAACACCACTTCAGATAACTCCAAAGAATTGTATGTCTTCCAATGTATCAAGGCCTGGAATATCAAAGTGGAGTGGAACATTATTCACTGGGACATTGATTAATATTAAACACCGTATAAACCCCCTGTCTGTATTGCAAGTGTATTAAAGGGGTCATATGATGCGATGTGATTTCACCATGGACGAAGCGGAGTCCAGCCCGTGGTAGTCATATGTGGTTGCCGCAAGCTTCCTTCGTCAAAGCGAAACTACTTTGTTTGGTCTTCCAAAAATGGACACGACTAGAAATCAGTGGTTAAGTTGTATTTACAACACTGTTCCAGAACACTTCAACCCAAATATTCAGATGTGTGCAGCACATTTTATGGAGGACTGTTTCCTGATCCTGGAAGAGTAGACTACAATGCCGGCTGTTCTGACTCACAGACTGTAAGTACGTTTTTTATATTTAAAGAGTTTTTATATTTTATATTTTTTATATTTAAAGCAAGTTTTTTGGGCTGAGTACAGTAGGGCTTGTTGTTTGTCATTTCTCCGATCACAAATGCAGACATGGTTTTATGTTTATGTGGCGCGATGCAACGCAACGCGTAAAAAGACAGTATAAGTCATTATAATCCGTAATTATGTCTCCACTGGATGCAACAAATGCCTCGTTTATAATGGGGTTTAATGTTTTTGAATCATCGCTGCTGCCGGGACACGCCATCACAATATGTTAAGGGGAGTAACATTTCCGTCACACGCTTGAGGTATTCAGCCAATCACAAGGCACAGGATAGCTGGCCAATCAGAGCACACCTCGCTTTTCAGACCGATGAGCTTTGTAAAAATCGATGCGTTTCAGAAAGGCGGGGCATAGAGGAGAAACAATAATGTACAGTATGTGGAAAATAATGTGTCTTTTGAACCTTAAACCGCATAAACACATTTCATTACACCAAATACACAAAATAATGTTCTTTTTTAGCAACATCGTGTGACCCCTTTAAGTGTGAGTGAATGAAAATTCTGGGTATAAACTTAAAACAGTGATAAAAATGAATAACATTATACAAAATAAGATGCAGCTGCATTTACAGCTCAAGTGAATCAATGTCACTAACCTTGCATATGACTGTAACATTAAACAACAAACATAGAAAAGGGAAACATACATCATACATCCAAATACGCTTTTAGTTAAAGAAGGAATTGGGACTTTTATTATGAAAATGCACGCAGGAGCCAGCAGACTCTTAAATCACTATATGGTTCACTGTTTCTGCATTCACACTACCATGTTTTCACGGAAATAACACCTACAGAGCATTGAAATCAATCAAAATAGAACAATGAATGACCGCGAACTTATCAGAGCACACCTCGCTTTTCAGACCGATGAGCTTTGTAAAAATCGATGCGTTTCAGAAAGGCGGGGCATAGAGGAGAAACAATAATGTACAGTATGTGGAAAATAATGTGTCTTTTGAACCTTAAACCGCATAAACACATTTCATTACACCAAATACACAAAATAATGTTCTTTTTTAGCAACATCGTGTGACCCCTTTAAGTGTGAGTGAATGAAAATTCTGGGTATAAACTTAAAACAGTGATAAAAATGAATAACATTATACAAAATAAGATGCAGCTGCATTTACAGCTCAAGTGAATCAATGTCACTAACCTTGCATATGACTGTAACATTAAACAACAAACATAGAAAAGGGAAACATACATCTGAAACTTCCAAATACGCTTTTAGTTAAAGAAGGAATTGGGACTTTTATTATGAAAATGCACGCAGGAGCCAGCAGACTCTTAAATCACTATATGGTTCACTGTTTCTGCATTCACACTACCATGTTTTCACGGAAATAACACCTACAGAGCATTGAAATCAATCAAAATAGAACAATGAATGACCGCGAACTTGATCTCACAGAAGCGCAAAAGGCTACCAAATCAAAGTATCCTCCCATCACCAAGAAATACGAGTGTAAGTGGATTCCAATGCACTGTCTATTTCGCATGTCATGTAAACCCAGTAACGAACACAAACAAAACCTACTTAAACTAGACGTAATGCTGAAAAGTATGTAACACACACTTTTCATACATTAGAGTTATATATAAGAAAAAGCACGAACGTTACAGAAACGCACTATTAACGTACAATTTCTGATATGGTGATGCTTCGTGAAAATGAATTGAGTCACGTGATACGACGCTCCAAGATGTTTACGTCAGCACGTAACATTCTTTTTTTTTTAATTATTTTTTTAAATAGTTTCATTACATGCGTCTCATTTTGAGATGATTAATGGCAAATCATGGAGTAGCAATGAAAAAAAAGCAACGCTTTTCGGAACTTTGAATCAATTGATTCACTTTGATTCATCATGTTCAATGTTTGATTTTCTGTTTCAGATCTTGATCATACTGCAGATGTCCAGTAAGTATGTTCTTGTGACTAAGCCACTGTTACTTAAATCAAATGTAAATATAACTGGAAATGTTAGAAGCTACGGTATAGTGGTGTAAACAGGAATGAAAACTGTCATTTCAAAGGACAAGTGAGTCATTTATAGTCTTTTTCAACATTGCCTCAACATTTGGTGTAAGTCTGCGTGAGGAATTATATTTAGTTCAGTGGAAGAAGAGGGTAAGACTTAAAAACAGCTCACCGTGAATGTGTATTTACAGTATAACTTTAAAGCATTGCCTCTGTTTTTCACTGTAGGATTCATTCATGGGGTGATTCTCTGGAAGAGGCTTTTGAACAGTGTGCAATGGGGATGTTTGGCTACATGACGGACACCGAAACTGTTGAACCCACTGACACTATAGAAGTAGATTCAGAAGGTGGGACAGTATATTCAACCTTTTCTTTTCAGACCAGGCGTCTATTATATTTGACTCCACATGCACACAGCTAAGTTCGGTAGTTAATTATCAATTCTTTACACACACAGTTCATTCATTTACAGGAGTGACAATCATATTCTACCACCGAACCGAACTAAACAACTAGTGGTGAATGATATATTTAAACACGTATTAGAGATGTGTCTCTATTATATGTTAGCTGCAAGAAAATCACAGGAATATAAGCCTTCACTCATTTGTGTTGCCAAATATTGCTAGAAAAAAAACTCCAGAAAGGCCCATAATAAATCCAAATACTTTATATTGAAAATGGGATCAAAATATTGAATAATACCAAAATACCCGCCCACATTAATAACTCTGATCGCTTTATGAGCCATAACCAAACAACAAGCCCAAGCACACTTATAATGACAGGACATGGCAACACAAGAAAGCAGCCTTCCAAACATAATACAGGATGTGGTTTAGTGAAAATAGCTGAAAATAACAAGTTTTTGGTCGCTGTGATATTACTTCAAACTTAACAATAAAATTCACCATCTACTTTCCTTGTGTGGAAACAAACTCATTCTGCCTAGTATCTGTTGTGTTTCACTGAAGAGGAGGATATTCTGGTGTTTGAACGACATAGGAATGAATTCATGAAGATAAAAATTTATATATTTACATTTAGTCATTTAGCAGACGCTTTTATCCAAAGTAGTGTTGGGTCGTTCTTGAACGATTCGTACATTTTGAACGAATCTTTAATGTGACTCGGGAAGAACGAGTCGTCTCGGGGAGTGATTCGTTCAGTCGCGCATGCGCAACATCCTATAGGTTCTGTACTGGAATTAGTCAAGTAGTTCACCAGTTTCGAGTCTTCGGGTTTTTCCGAGTCATTCGTTCATCACGTGACAGCCCCATAAGCTTTAACCAATGCCGTCTGAGCCGGAAAGAGAATTGATTAGTTCATCTCTCGAGTCTTCGGGTTTTTCGAGTCGTTCTTTCATCACGTGAATAACTTTTTAATTATATTTTGCTAAAATGAACGAAATGACTCGAAAAAAGATTCGTTCATTTTGCTGAACGAGACTCAAAGGTCCGAGTCGCTAAAATGATCCGAACTTCCCATCACTAATCCAAAGCTACTTACAAATGAGGACAATAGAAACAATCAAAACTAACAAAAGAGCAACAATATATAAGTGCAAATGACAAGTCTAGGTTAGCCTAACGCAGTACACATAGCAAGGTTTTTTTTTTATATATGTATGTGTGTATATATATATATATATATATATATATATATATACATATATATATATATATAGATATATATATATGTATATACACACAAACAAAAACAAGTAGATAGAATAGAAAAAATAGAAAGCTAGTATTTTTTATAAAAAAGAAGATAAATAGATAAAGTAGAATTCAAATAAAATAGAAAGTGCTAGAGTTAGAGGGTCAAATAAAGATGGAACAGATGTGTATTTAGTCATCTCTTGAAAATGTCTAAGGACTCAGCTGCTCGGATTGAGTTGGGCAGGTCATTCCACCAGGAGGGAACAGTTAATGAAAAGTCAGTGAAAGTGATTTTGTGCCTCTTTGACGTAGCGACTTGGACACCTCACCTCTCCAAGAGACCTTGAAGGACCTCTCTGAGAGGTAAGACTCAAACCACTGTTTGAAAACCACATTTTCCTATAGGGTTGACAGGAGAATCTCATGGTTCACCACCGTATCAAAAGCAGCGGACAGATCCAGCAAGATAAGTATAGAAGATTTGGAAGCCGCTCTTGCCAGTCTTAGGGCTTCAAAGCAAGGCAGTCTCGGTTGAATGTCCACTTCTGAAGCCAGATTGGTTGCTGTCCAGGAGGTTGTTCTGTGTGTGAGAAAGGCAGAGACTTAGTTGAACACAACTTGTTCAAGTGTTTTTGCAATGAAAGGTAGAAGGGAAACCGGTCTTCACAGTCTGACTTTCGAGAACTACAAATAAATTACGTTTGCCTAAAATAAATGTTAAAGGGATAGCCTCATGTCAGTCCAGACCTGTAGGAATTTCTTTCTTCTGGTGAATACGCAAGAAGATATTTTGAAGAATGTAGATAACCAAACCGTTTCTGGTCCCCATTGACTTCCATAGTATTTTATGTTTTTTCATACACTATTAAAAATTTAGGTTATTTATTATCATCTTTGGTTCCATGAAGAACCTTTAAGATCTATGGACCCTTTCCATTGGACTAAAGCTTCAGTGTATGGTACTTTTAAAAACTGCTCAGTGAAAGGTTCTTTGGGGAACCAAAATGTGTATATTTTTTTATATAGCATCGCTGTGAAATGAACACATTCCCTTTTGGAATGTTTATTTTAAGAGTTGCTATGGACGTCATTGGGGACCAACTGTTTGATTACCCACATTCTTCAAAACATCTTTTCATACAGGTGAGAGTGAGTAAATGATGACAGTATTTTTATTTTTGGGTGAATATCCCTTTAAATAAATATGCATTTAAACGGAACAGAAGCATTTTGAGAAATTCAGGAAGGGGCCTTGATTCCCTCTGGTTTTCAAATGATTCTGTATGTACGATTCCTTCATGTTGTGTGACTGTTGCACATGTTTCTTTCAGATTACAGTCAGTCATTTTTTTTTTTTTTTTTTTTTTTTTTGGGGGGGGGAAAGGTTTAAAAAAAAAAAGAACCCCCGGACGCTGCCATGAGAGGTTTGGCACGACATGCAGCGTCACCGTCTCAGTCTCTGTCCGGCGCGGGTGAAATAATTATAATGCTGAAGGTGAGGTACTTGGCCATCCAAGATGTAAATGCGTTTGTTTCTTCATAGGAACAGATTTGGTGAAATGTAGCATTATATGACTTACTCACCAATGGATCCTCTGCAGTGAATGGGTGCCGTCAGACTCAGAAAGAGAGTCCAAACAGCTGATAAAAACATCACAATCACATTTCATTTTAGTATATGTTCACACTTTCACCAAAAACATGCAGCATTTAAACTTCAATCTTATTCAATTATACCAGTAGTAAAGTACGTTATTAGGATTTCGCAATCATAGTGCCCTCTACTAATAGAATGAGAAAAAGCGCTGAAACCCAGATTGTATTCAAGTATTTGCATTGAAAATAGAAAACATTGATGAAGAGCACCTAATCACTCTCTTCTAGGTAAACCTATAGAGTAAATATGACCACAGTCGCAATGTATGATTGAACATTTCATTGATCATTTGGTTTTTATTTCTGCAGCATTGAATTAGAGTACAGAAATTGACAATATAATTGGGAAGAGATGGTTCGATGATATACAAATGAATGAGAGAAATCGGTTTGTAGTGCATATGTATGGACAAAAATACAATTTTTGCATGATTTAAGTTACATTTATGATGCGACTAATGTCAGATTCAATTCCTTAAAATCTTAAGATTTCTGCTTTTCCTCATTCAAGTAGTTAAAAATGTTCATACTAGTGTGTGTATATTATATGTGACATAAATACTGTCATACAGTGTTTCCTTCACTTTATGATCATACTGTGAATATTAACACATGTTATAGTCTTTTAAAATCATTTAATATTCGTCTGGGGAACACATCCCTCCATAATTCCTTTCCCATGCAGCACAATCCAAGTAATCTTAAAAATTATGGTGTGCGTCCAGACTAATGTTAAACTCATGATGCACGGTTTAATTTTTGTAGATAGCCAAGGACACAGGTTTCACATAGTTTCAGGATGTTTTCACAGTGTTGTTTGTTGCTGGTCTGACTCGTCTCTCCAAATGTATATAAATATTGTTACTGGAATATTAAACTATTTCAGTGCAATCGTTTTCACATATAATAAAGCTCATATGAATCGTTCTAACTATTCCACTGCAGATTACTGTTTGTTGTTACAGGTGCTCCACATTATCACGTATTTGAAAGTGTTTCCCAGATCTGTGCGTATGCACTGATTTGATCTTAGAGTGTGCGTGCGCTTAAATCCACGCCAGCGCTCATATTTGTAAAAACTGGCTTTGACGTGGAAAAGTGCTTAATCTGAGCAGATCCGTTTATCCAGAGCAAGTAAACATGTGATAGGAATCAGTGGTGAATAAAACGACCACTATTTAAGCAAACACATAGCCCTGCCCCAGATTCATAACACTGCAACGCTGTCATGTCTGGCCCGGCCTGCTTAACCCCAAAAATGAACATTTACTCCTACCTCAGGCCATCTAATGTAGATGTAGGTGAGTTTCTATTCTTCTGAACCGATTTCGAGAAATTTAGCATTACATCGCTTGCTCACCAATAGATCCTCTGCAGTGAATGGGTGCCGTCAGAATGAGAGTCCAAACAGCTGATAAAAACATCACAATAATCCACACCACTCCAGTCCATCAGTTAATATCTTGTGAAGTGAAAAGCTGTTTGTTTGTAAGAAACACACCCATGATTTAACTTTACGCTGTCACTTCTGGCCAAAATACCAGTCTATAATAAATAATGCTTCCTCTAGTAAAAGAAGGTCCATCCTGCTGTTGTCTCACATCAAAATGCACCAAAATATTTGTTTAGAGGTGCTGTTAAACAGTGCTTGCTCTGTGCATATTTCTCTCCTGATTCAGACCAGGTGACTTTTTCACCGGGGAAAGCAATGTTATGGATAGAGGACTCGTATTGCATCTGGAAGCAATGGTATAAAGCTATAAATGTCTTAATCGTGGATTTATTACAGACGCCCAGTGTTTTGCATAATGCATAAATTACACACACTTTCATTTAAACAGGCATCAGACTGCAAAGATTTTAATGCTTTTATTTTTCTGTTTTACAGGGAACAGAAGTGAAAGCAATCACCTACTCTGCTATGCAAGTACATGACACGGAGAAACCAGATATCTTTGTCATCATCGATATTTAAAAAACAAAAATACAAGTTACAAGTTAATTTAAAGCCTCTTGTTAATTGACGTGATTTTAAAAGATTGTACCTTCTTGTTGGAATAGACATCTGAGAGGTGTCTTTTCTGTAAACTATGAAATGTTTTGTGGATTACATGGCTGAAATACTTTTTTTGGTCTGATTTTCATTATTAATAATGAAATTAAAGTGCCCCTATTATGTTTTTTAATATTTTTTTATGACTTTTCATGCAGTGTGCAACATCCTGCAAAGTTTTAAATCTGAATGTGCACCTTGTATAAAGTTATTGTCTTTTAAAAGAAAGAGTCAACTCTGAATCATTGAAACGAGTCGTTTATAAAACGAATCCCAAGCCGTTTCATGTTGATGTCAACATGAAACATTAGCATATTGACCGCCCACTTGTTGGTCTTTTCGAAAAATGAATCGTTGAGCGAATCGTTTGGGAGTCGTTGAGCAAGTGATGTAAAAATAAATGCATATTATAAGACAATGAAAGTGTTTTTTGACCTTGCATGCATGTCAACCTGTTGTTGGGGACTCCCAAAACCAAAATATGAACCTTTCATTACCCATAATAGGGGCACTTTAATAATTTTTAATTTTGTAATTACAAGCAAATATCATAAAGAAACACTCATGATCTGAAAAATACCTTGTTTGGTTTAATTTGGTTTTGGTCTAAAGATTATTATTGTTAAAGATAATTTAAAATGTTTTAATAAAAATATATAAAAAGGAACACTTGTAAAGCTCATGTTTTGTACTAAAGTCAATAGTTGAAAAAATAAAATACATCTAATTTGATCTTGTTAGTATTGATGCTACAGTGAAAATAAATTTCTCCAGCAAGGCTGTGCATAATAAAAACCTTCAAATCAGCAGGTATACAATGAGATGTTTGTCTTGAATATTTTAAAATACACTACTAGTTAAAAGATTTTGAACAGTAAGATTTTAAATGTTTTTTAAAGAATTCTCTTCTGCTCACCAAGCCTGCATTTATTTGATTTAAAATACAGCAAAAGCAGTAATATTGTGAAATATTTTACTATTTTAAATAACTGCTTTCTATTTGAATATATTTTAAAATGTAATTTAATCCTGTGACTTCAAAGCTGAATTTTTAGCATCTTTACTCCAGTCTTCAGTGTCACATGGGGCCTCATTTATAAAGCGTGTGTATGCACAGATTTGGGCTTAAATCCACGCCAACGCTCATATTTGTAAAAACTGGCTTTGACGTGGAAAAGTGCTTAGCGGCACGTCAGGGTCTGAGCAGACGTACACACTTTCTTGGGAGTACTGCAGGTTTTTGGAAATGTAAGCTGTTCTTGCAGTTCGCTGTTGTAAATTAAAGGTTTTGGATGATGACTGGTGATCTTTAATGACATTAATTAGGAGTCGTTTACAAGGCAGAGAGCTGAAAATATTAATTTGCGCGCAAGTTCAAGATCATTTGCACACTATTCATTCACTAAAAAATGCTGGGTTAAAAAGGGACAAACCCAGTGGTTGGGTTGTTTTGATCCAGCGGTTGGGTTGTTTTGATCCAGCGGTTGGGCTGTTTTGACCAAAAGCAACCCAATAGCTGGGTCAAAACAGCCCAACCGCTGGGTCAAAACAGCCCGTGCGTTTTCTGTGCATACGTTCATTCTATGAATCACACGTACGCATATTCGAGAAATGATCGTAAGATAATTTTAGAATGGTTTCTGCGCAACGTTTTTTAAATGAGGCCCCTGATCCTTCAAAAATCATTCTAATGTTCTGATTTGCTGCTCAAAAAACATTATTATCAGCTTGAAATCAGCCGAGTAGAATTTTTCAGGTTTCTTTGATGAATAGAAGGTTCAGAAGAACAGCTTTTGTAACATTATAAATGTCTTTATCACTTTTGATCAATTTAATGCATCCTTGCTAAATAAAAGTATTAATCTCTATCAGCCTCCCCCCCCCCAAAAAAAAATACTGACCCCAAGCTTTTGAATGGTATAGTGTATATTGTTACAAAAGCTTTTTATTTCAGATAAATGCCAATCTTTGGCTCTTTCTATTGATCTCTTTCCATTGCTAATAATAATAATAATAACAACAACAAAATCTTTCTTGAGCAGCAAATCAGAATATTAGAATGATATCTGAAGGATCATGTGACACTGAAAACTGGAGTAATGATGCTGAAGATTTAGGTTTGATCACAGGAATAAATTACAATTTAAAATCTATTCAAATAGAAAGCATTATTTTAAATAGTAAAAATATTTCACAATATTACTGATTTTGCTGTATTTTGGATCCAATAAATGCAGGGTTGTTGAGCATAAGAGGCTTCTTTTAAAAACCTCTTGCTGTTCAAAAACGTTTGACATAGTCTTCAATGAGCTGCCACTTTTAAAGCTGAAGCGTGTCATTTCTGTGGTGCCAAACAGACTAACTTTTAGGTTTCCAAAAACATCTTTTTCCATAAACGGCTATTCAAAAGTATAGCCATGAATTTGGCAAAATATGATTTTTTTTTTTTGTAAAACATTCTAATTATAGTATTCTCACTCTGCTCTACAAAGCCTGAAATTGACTCATGATAGTTGCTCGTGTAGAAATTAGGACAGCAAGTGAAAAAAATTATTGAAATTCAACAAAAACCACACACTTCAACTTTAATGATTTCTTGTGCTTCTCTCCAAAATCTGGATTACATAAAGTCTAGTAGCGCAGCGGTATTAATTTAAATATAAAAATACAAGCCCAAAAATAATGTTGGAGGCACTATTGGAATAGCAGTAGTAGTTGGTCCTCAGCACAGGCATGTCATTTCCAGCAATTCATGTCAATCTTGATCTGCATGAGTCCAGTATGATCATTTGCTTCTGTCATGACAGTATAACACTAGCAGCAGACCCGTCGAGCACAGGAGGAAAAAACACAACACCGACAGAACCACGACTGGTTTACTGGCGCTCGTGTTCCCATCTAAAAGAAAAGACAGACGAGAGGAACACATTACTGACAGGTGACTCCATACACATTAACACCGTTTGTACTGACATTTTAAACAGGATATTCAATAATATTCAACATTTTCTATGTCAAATTATTTTTTTGTTTGGAATTATGTGAACTGATGAATCCAGTTTTAATTTCTTTTCATTTTTAAATAACATTTTATGCCTCATTTTTAAATCTCATACACTGCTGTTCAAATGTTTGGGGTGGGTAAGGTTTTTTTGTTGTTGAAAGGAGTCTATTATGCTCACTAAAGGCTGGATCTATTTGACAGTAAAAACATTAATAATGTGAAATATTTTTTACAACTTAAAATACATGTTTTCTATTTGAATGTACAGTAAAATGTAATGTATTCCTGTGATGCCATTTCCAGCATCATTACTGCAGTCTTCAGTGTCACATGATCCTTCAGAAATCCTGATTCGATGCTCAAGTAACATTTCTGATTATTATCAACGTTAAAACAGTTGTGCTGCTTTTTTTTTGTGGGAACTTTGACTTTTTTTCGGGATTCTTTGACGAATAGTAAGTTCAAAAGAACAACAATATTTTAAATGGATATCTTATCTAACATGTTTTACTGTCACTTTTGATCAATTTATGCATCCTTGCTGAACAATTATATGTATCATATCCCAGCTCATTTTATATTATGACCATAGATTATGGATCTACACTTAAATGTCTCAAATACATTAATGAGCAGTTTGACATTTCAGAAAGTTTTGCATCATAAAACACTTTCAATGGAAGAAAGGAAGGAAATTATCTAAAATGTTAAAGCATTTTTTTGCTGACAGATTCCTCAAACTTTATGCAATTTACATGAGCTTGCAAAACAGCCTGTAAACAAATTAGCAAAAAAAAAACTGATTCAATCAGTGAATCAGCTGCAATGCTAAAGCTCCTGATTGTCTGGTTTAACACTGACAAACAGGCTTTTGTGTGGTAATCACTTGCAGTGTCATCTTCCGAACAATGTGGCTTTTATTCTTAAAATGGATGCCAGTTTGGGAACTAGGAATTTAAAAAAAAGACACCGAAACCAGGGTGATGATTCAAAATTGTCCCAGAGGAAAAGAATGTAATGTGAAACAGACGAACCTGTTCGCAATCGGACAATGAAGGAATGATTCTGCTCTCAAGAACTCACACAACAAAGACTGGGATTCACTGCACTGTAGGGCTGGGTAAAAAATATCGATATCTCGATATTAATCGATTCTCTTTTTTACGGAACGATGTCGATTCTTAAATCCTAAGAATCGATTAGTCTAGCCTGTTTTCAGCTAATGGACGGAACACTGAAGGGCACTTCCCATTCAATAAACCGCAATAAGCATTTTGCTTTGGTACTTTTAATATGAAACAAAGTCACAGATTTCAATTTATGCCCATTGTATTGCAGTATTCAAACAATAAATGCCGTTTTGGTGCTGTTTAATGTGGAGTGACTGATCGCTGTAGCGCCTCAGTTCAACAGATGCGGCAGCGCGAGGCACACATGAACTGATCATCTCCTTCACATTAATACCAGTTTCAGCACAAAATAAACATGACTAAACATCCGAAGGTAAGTTAAAAGAAAGAGTACAACTTTACAATCTGTATCCTGTCTCATGTAATCGCTCAATCAGTGTTTCAGCTGCGCCACGACGTCAATATAACAGCTTGTAAACAATGTCACATAACGTCACATTTACCTCAGAAACAAACATATTCGGTGACCATAAACTCATTAGTCGGATAGAAAAATAAACTGTAGAGAGGGGTATTTTGCTAAATATATGCACCACATAACATGTTCATTATAATTTTTACTGTTCTAATGTTTAACTTATGTTTGAATAAATCCATAATTTTTTATGACAGCCACTATTTAATTTTTTTTATAAAAAAAAAACCCAGAATTGAAGTAGAAATATTATTATGTAATTGTAACTTTATTATTTTAAAAACGTAATTGTGTAATTTTAACGGTTGTATGCTATAGCTGACAAATCAGTCAATTTTAACCTTCAATATTATAGTAATGTTGTACCAACCGACTCTCATGTATATTTTACAGCATTAGTTGAGAGATTTTTTTTCCTTGAGAAAATTTGGCATGTACTGTACCTGATATATATCCAAAATAATCGATATTGAATCAAATTGAAAGCTTGTGAATG